TTATAATAAGCACTGTGATCCAGCTTTGACCGTTATTGGCTTCCTTCTTCTTGTTTATTATTGGCTGACAGTCACGCCAATCAGGACGCTTAAGATCGGTTGTGCTTCTCTGATATCTAGGACTTTAATCCATGTATGACTGTGTTATATTGTGTACAGGGTGTATTTCAATATTAAAAATACAAAGAATTTATAGTTTGAGAAGATAATACAAAAGAAGAATGTATATGAATTGAATGAATTTGTGTATATAGAATAGTAGAATACACATGTGCTCACCACTGATTCGGAATCATGCATCGGAGCATAACTTAAAGAAATAAATGTTGTTTATCAATATAGCTGTTTAGTAGTCATCTATATCGTTTTTCTGAAAATTACGAATGATTTAACATGTTTGATCTATTTCAAGGACGTTGTATGTATAAAGATAGTTATACAGAATACCCCCATCATCTCCGATTTTGATAAAATTAGCTTCATTCGACGCGCTTTTGCATAAAACGAAAGAATCTGACCGAAATAAGTTTCTCTCAATATAAATACATATATATGTTATTGAACATGTACGGCCTATACTTATATTTCAAGGACATATACATATATACATGTCCTTGAAATAGACCATACATGTACATATAATACTTATCCTTGTCGCTCTGCCCTGCTCCTAAACTAAATGGTCGTCAACTTTAACGCTTAATATCTCGGTTTGCAGGGCAGAGCGACACTTATTTCTGTCAGATTCTTTCGTTCTATGCAAAAACGCATCGAATAAGCAGAATTTTATCGAAATCGGAGGTAATGAGGATATTTTGCATAATTACCGGAATGAAAAGTAAATATATTTTGTATAATTACCGGAATGAAAAGTAAATGAACCTATTGGGATGTAAACGCTCTATCCTTATAATCCCTTTTTATGCCTTCTCATTCTCTCTCATGGATTCATCTCATTCTCTGGATACATCTTCTTCATCTTTATGTACGAAGTATTTGTAATCCGTGTTTAAAGTTTAAAAGTCCTCAAAAGTAACCATTCTTATAAAACGATAATTATTATGTTAAATATAATATATTTACCAATTATAGCTATCAGATGATATTGCTGAGGTGAAATTATATTGAAAAACACTTTTATCTCATTTTATACATCCGTGTCCCTATAATAATCCATACGTAAATATGTATATGTCCTCATAATGACCCATTGCTTATTATTATATACATGTCCTCGAAATAAACCATACATGTAAAATCATGCATATATATGGGAAAAACGCTATAGTTGATTGCTATACATAGCTATTCTGAGTAAATAACACATACTGCTTTCAAATATATAGTTATATATAAGTGTCCTCAAAATGTACCAAAGCCATATATATATATATATACTTATACCTATACTTATACTGTACGTATATATGTATTGAGTTTTAGGTATGTATGTATTGAGTTTTATGTATGTATGTATTGACTGTATACTTATATTTTACTCTTACTTGTACTTATACCTATATTTATACTTATACTTGTACCTATACTTATATTTTCATATGTATTGAGTTTTATATATGTATTGAGTGTTTTATATATGTTCTTTTATATATGTATTGAGTTTTATGTATGTATTGAATTTTTAAATGTATCTTTATACTTTTATTTTTACTCATACTTATATTTTACTTTTATATATGTATTGAGTTTTATATCAAGTTTTATATATGTATTTTATATTGAGTTTTATATTTTATATTTTAATACGTTTTTTAAATGTATCTTTATACTTCGCATTTATTGTATTCGCGTAATGTATGTATCTTATAGTACTTAATTCTTACGTATATTAAAAATAAGTACATGTATGTATGTGAAGGAATAAATAAAGAGTAATAATGATATTCTTATACCTTTATATATATTTTTTTATATAAATAAAAAAATTAATTTAAACGACATCGTTTTTATTTATCCATGAATTGTACGATCCATCGAATCCCAGCCACTTGACGTACACCTTGTCTCCTTTCTTACGCAGTACTTTCTCCACGAGATACAAGTCGGGATTAGCGATGCGACGCAACTCGTGCTCGTAGAATCCTCCAGCGACCGGTTTTCCACGGTAATCTTTCAGAAGATACGTCAAGGGATTAGTTTTCTGTACTTTGACGACTCGAAACACCTTTGTGGTCCAATTTGGCGTGTAACCCTTCTCAAAGATCGTCTTGTACTTGCTCACGCGTACCGCGTCGCCTACTTTAAATTTTGCGGGACCAGCGATCTTTATCGCGCTGTACACCGTGTCCAAGAGTCTTTCGGCGCTAGCGGGAGTTACGTCAGAAGGTCGCATGCCGATGGTGTGATGCTTGCGCGTGTTGTAATCCGACACGAGACGCGGCAGCGTGTCGACCCACTTGTAATTGCCGTTGAGCGTAAACATCTTCCACATGTCGTTCTTAAGCGTGCTTGAACCGCTCGACCACCGACACTTTCAACGTCGAATACGTGGAATAATGATTAATGTCGTGTTTTTTCAAGACTTTCTGCACATTGGCGTTGTAAAACTTCTTTCCCATATCCGTTTGCAGATTCTTCGGACATCTTCCGCTCTCTCGAATTATTTCAGCGATAGCGTCAGCGGTCTCGCTACCGCCCTTGCTCTTGAGCGACACGTCCCACGCATACTTGCTCAACACATCGATGACGGTGAGTATGTAGTGACGACCCCTGTTGTAACTCGAGTACGGTCGCATCTCAACGATGTCGGCCTGCCATAGATCGTCGTATCCCCGTACTATGACGCGTCTTCGTGGAAAATTTCTTCTCGCCGGAGCGTGCAATTCCTCGACGAGCCTGCGTCTCTCGGAGCTGACTCTTTTTTCTTTCATGATTCGTC